CATTTAAACCTCTTGCTTTTCCTCACACTGTTAACTGGGACAAAGGCAATTCACTCTGTCTTAGATGTCAAATCATGACTTTAACTTCTCTTTGTTGCACTCCCCTAATCTTGCCTGGTTCTCGTCCCCATGCCCACTGAGCACTACGCTATGCTAATCAGTGTCCCTCCTCAGGCCATTGTCCCTGTCTGTAAGGATAAGTCTCCAATTTCCTGGTTCCCTGACATTTTTCACTCACTGGCCCACGTGATCATAGATTCTGTTTCCTTCTTCACTAAGTCTCTGTTGCTATCATGTAAGCTCATTAAATACTGATGTATTATTATCCAAGTATTCTTTTCTCCTATCTTAAGTTTTTAAAACCAGTGGGAGAATGTTCACATTTTAGGGAGGAAATTGAAAATACAAAGATACCTAACATGCTTGACTTCATAGCCAGTATAGATTTTATTTTTGTAGTTTAATCCCTGGGTTTCCATAAAGCTCAATTACAATAGAAATATCCACAAATAGAGTGAAGGAGCATTCATTCACATTTTGGAAATCTTCAGGCTACTATATCCAATTGTTTTAATATTCTGCCACAAACAAAACCATTGTACTGTAAATGAGAAAAGGGTAACTGATGTCCATGTCGGCTATGAAAAACATGTATCACTTTGCTTCTGCATAATGCCAACATCTTTTTCTGATGCTCATAAACCAAGTAATGAGTGTTTTAAACTTTAAAAAGTGTTTAGGGCCATTATGAAGATCTAGTTTGCTAGTCAATTTGTTACATATTAAAAAAAAAAGGAGTGTGCATGCTCTTCCCATAAAGGAAAGTTATTGTTTCAGACAATGAGGTCTATAAAAAGCTGTCTCCATGCAAAATTCTGGTGTTTTACCTTCACATTTCTGTTTTTGTTGGGCCATAAAAAGTTAAGGACACTAAAGAAATACCACTAAATTTTGACAATTGCTATAAAAACACATTCTTAGACTCTAGATTTCAGACAGCAATACTAACTGTGTGAAAGTCAATGCTATTGTGTATCCTGTCAATATTTTAATTATTCAAGGACTGTCTTTTGAAATAGACTTTTTAAAATAAGGGTTTCCATGCTTGGTTTTTGCACACTTAATTCTCAATTTTCTTGAAGTAATTTGTTAGTGTTTGGCTCAATGAAATTTTTCCCAATCTTGTCAAAGAATTGTCCACCTCCCTTCCCACATTGTAAATTAATAAATTATTTAATAGATGTTGATAATGTGATTGAATTATATATGAACCTGTGTATTTGTATTTTAATAAAAAAGCCCCTACATAAGTATGTATTTATTTACTACTACACAGAATGTTCCTTAGTAGCAACTCACCCTGACTCATTTGTCTAGAATTATTTGGGAATCAGAGCTTAGAATAAGACTGGCATTCTAAAATTCTTTCTGTCTTCTAAAATTTACTAGTGGCAATTTAACATATTCTTGATGACAGAGGTTAGCACTATGACTACCAGTTATTAGAACAACCTCTGGGAGTTTTTCTTTCTTGCATCTGTATGTTTACTTTTCCTAACTCCTCTTTCTTCTCTCTTTGCCACTCAGGGTATCCACCCTGACTTTTTACTGTGTATCTGAATATTCTAGTTCATGTCTACAGTGAAGACTTGGAATTCCAGTGGTATAATTGTTAAACTCTGTCTAAAATACAGAACAACTTCTGTGATCTTGACTTCAGTTTCCTCTTCTTAATAGTATTTACTCTATAAAAATTTACCAAATAAATGTTCCCTGGATGTGTGTGGACAGCAGTCACACTGGGCCAACTAATATAAATATAATATAATTAGCTACACTAATATATAGGCTTATATTCTGGAAAAAGCAAGATGCTCTTTCCAGAATACACCGAGAATGATTGTCACACATCTTTCATAATTGGTATTATATAATCCAAAATAGGAGATAATTGGAGAACATAGAAATAGCGGACATTTTTCAAACCTGCCATTTTCTTACTGCTCACACCTAACTACCCACTTCTGTCAGCAGTTCTCATGCTGGCCTGGTTGCCCCTGAAACACGAGCCTGGTGACTTGGGCAGATACTTCCACACGCAGGAACTGCAGAGCAGGGCCCCACTTCTAAACCTGCAGCTTGCTAGCACAGCTGAGCCCAGATTCTGCAAAAACAACTCTATCAACTTTATTCTGCATAAAAAGCAT